AATAATTAATTTTTATTCATTTAAAATTCATAATATTAACTACATTTATTTATTTAATAATACATAAAAATTATATAAAAAAAATTTAACTCAATATCATTCCTTATTTCGGAATATTCAGCACTTGGAGTCCACCAAGGCTCGGGTCCGTTAAGGATGGGTGAAAACATGACATCAGCTCACGGTCACGGAAAAGAGCAGATTAAGCACAACCGAGTAGTTTGAGGATCGATCTTCCACAAAAATTATTTTAAGTGTTGTTTATGCACAACAGATCGGTTGAGGGGCTGATTCGCACTGGTCGCCTACTTCTTGTAAAAAGGAAAAGGAAAAACAGACATTATCATTTATATTTATTTTTTACAAATATGCCAAAACGCATTTATTTTCTTGGTTGATAACACACATGAGCATTCACAAGTATTTTTTAGCTAAGAAAACACACACTGTAATAGCATCAGACTATCAACGAGGGGTTGGATCAAGTGGTAAGCGGCTTATTTCAGCTTGATCAAGATCTCGAGTTCGAGTCCTTGTGTATGCAGCAGCCCCCGCTGGGAGACTCACCCACCATTTCCAGGTGCGCGACGCGGGTCGGGTCCGGATTAGTCGAGACGAAACCTCGAATACCGGGCGGGAAACCAAAAAAAAAAAAAAAACACATAAGCATTCACAAGTATTTTTTAGCTAAGAAAACACACACTGTAATAGCATCAGACTAACTAGAAATAGTAATAATTAAAGTTCAGCGTTCGAGCCAGTATGTCTCTTTGAAGCTATTATAAGTCTGCAGAGCTGCCATAACAAGGCCAGCTATGACACCGAGGAAGACGATGAAGCTCCAGGGACTCCTGAAATAGGTGTGACAGATTTTAGCAGCGTCTCTGGCCCATATGATGTTGCAGTGATCTTGGATACGACGTTTCAACTCAAGGTGTATCTCAAGATTCGGCACCAGTTTGTCGCTGATCTTGTTGAACAGCACTGCTACATCTTTATCGCTTCCTAGTTCGTTGCGCAGCACGCCTGCATCTCTTAGTTCTTTCACATCCTCCCTGCTATCGATCAAGGTGTCGAGAAATGACACGTACGAGGTGATCTCGAACTCGTTTTTGAAATCCGGACACATCTCGTAGGCTATCAAGTTCAGCAACTTTGGCATGGTGGCGACGTCAACCAAAATGGGAGAAAGCGTAAGGGTTGGCATGCAAAAACGGTCGTCGAAATCAATGTCTGTGATGGCACCTCTCTCTTTACTCGCTTTAAAACGAATACCCTTTTCTTTCAACTCCTTTACGTTGCGAAATGTGTGCCAGTGTCTGCTTTTAGCACCATAAGAGCACAACTTCGAATTCCTCAGTTTCTCCCAGAGAATGTCCATTTTTTTATCTTTACCCTTCTCTTTTGCTTTGGTTCCTATCAGTCTTTTTCGTAACAGTGCCAGAAGATGAGCAGGCTCTTTTTCTTCTTCTTGTTTTTGTTGCTCAAGATGAGGAGGATGAATCTGATGATGAGAGTCAACCTGAATTCGGTGTTGTAGTTGCTGCTCGACCGGACTCAAGAAACTCTTGTCAATGAATTTGGTGATGGAATCCTTCAATTCCTTCTGACTATTTTCTCCTCCTTCTTCACTTGGGACTTCAGGGAACATGCCTATCAATATCTCAAGGAGTTTGTAGGGCAGTTGGTTCTCAAGTAAGAATAAATCAAGTTTCGCAAAGGCGACTAGATCATTCTTACCCCCTACTTCCTTCCACTTATCCATCATATCAAGGAGTATGAAATGCAACAATGCACAGCCATCCACAAGGAACATCCAGGCCAACTCCTCATCATTCCATTTCTCTACTTCGTTGGGGTCATAGCACTTCTTCAAGCTATTTATCTCCTTCTTGACATTGCTGTAGAAATCTTCCTTCGTCCTCCCACTCTTTTTGATGAACGTCCCCGCCAGTTGTAGCTTGAACTTCTCACCTCTTTCGAATGGCGAGTCTGATTTAGGATCCCTTTCATGGTGGAGGGGACCGATCGTAACAGAAATTGGCTCGAAAAATCGTTTGCGTTCCTCATCATTGTAGCGCGTGCGCAGTCTATACGCAACCTTTTGTATTAATGGCTTGTTTGATGTCGCATTTAGTGGATTGGTAGCGGCTTCCTCCAGTAACATCAATTTCTTACTCTCCTCGTCGGTCGTGATCTGAATTATTTCAAAGGCCATGTTGCGCAAGTCTGCTTGTTTCACCGTAACCTCAGCCTTGCCAGGCAAACGTATCTACATTACATGAAAGATATTTCCGTGACGATCTTGTGCTTCCTATTTTTTTTTTTTTTTTCAGTCCTTATGCTTCTATATTAAATTTGGAATATCCAATTTACTACTTTACACTGATAACAAGTTTGGTATTGGAATTTTAGTATAATTGCTTTTTTACCTCAAAAAGAAAAGGAGCAGGGGCGTGATGCATGTTCTGCTCACCGGGGAAAGTGGTCATGTGCTTGTCCTTCCATTAGCTTACATGAAAAATATTAGAAAATGATTCATACACAATTTGGTTTCATACACATGTCAACATTCAAGGTGGTTCATTTATTAAAATATAAAATAAATATAATTAGTTCAACCAATTTTTTTATTTTATATATTGCATCTTTAAGTTTTAATACCTTTAATTTCAAACTAAAAAACAATAATTTTTTTATGAGCATGTTACAAAATATGTTGAATCAGAAAATATTTGTATCAGTGTCCAAAATATTTTGTTGATAGTTTCAAATTTGAATTTAAGATGGTCAGGAAGGGATTTATATAGAATTGTTAATTCTCTCTTACTATTGTATAACAAATCGTGTGATGCAATAAAAAACATAAAAAATATTTAAATATATGTTGTTAATTATTTTGCTAACATGCACATAAATGTCCAAAGTTTTGTATATGTATATATATATATATTTCTCAATTGCAATTTTATTAATAGTGGAATATAAGGATACTCAACTCTTACATCATCTAATTGTTGTCACTAGACACAATATGTATTAAGTTTTGTATATTTAAAGTTAATTAGCTGCTTTGTGAAAGAATTATGTGAAATGTTTAATGTAGAAAATTAAATCAATGGAGATTTTAATTGACTTTGTTGAAGTACAAGGCTTAATTTAATAAATCATCTATTGACTTTTGATTATTTCATTTTAATTTAAAATCTTTATTTTCTTTTAAAGTCATTTATTAACTTTCAAAATTATATCAATTTCATCTATTGAGCACAATTGTGTTACTAAGATCGACAGAAGTCTACGTCTTTGATTACATGGTGATGGATAAGCAACACATGGTGAGAATAATCTCATGTTTGTTATAATGAGGTTTTGTTTTAATTAGATTATATTCCAATTTAGTTATTTATTGCTAATTAGGTTAGGGAAACAAAGAGGCAGGAATACCAACAAGAGTTTGGTCGAATTGATACTTATTAATTTAAAAATCTTGATTTGAGATCAAAATTAGATGTTAAAATCTTTATAATATTAAGCAGTTAACTCTCTAATGAACTAAAAATAATAAATGATATTTATTTTTCTGATAACAAAAAAAGTTAACCCTCTAATGAACTTATAAAAAAAAACAGAGGCAAGAATTTTCTCTCTATCTTCAAGCAATATGTTGCTTGTATAGCAGATTATGCAGTGCCATGTAAATAATGACATGGATTTTTATCAATCTAACTTACAAAATTC